TTCAGGAGGACTCGCAGTCGGGGCGATTGGGATTACTACAAATCTCTGCGTAACTACACCACTGAAGAGGGTGAGGAACAAAAAACGTGCTTATTATGCTTATTTGACAGAACAAGGAAGTTGCATGTCAATATCAATTTGTGTTTAAAAATGTAAGTGAGGCAGAGGTGCGGTCTATTCTGTCTTCTATCACATCCGCTTCAGTTGGGTGTGATGGTATTTATTATTGAATATCATTTCTTTAATATATCTTTGATGATTTTGAGATCCTGGCAACACATTTCTGTGACAAATTTGAATTATGCTACTAAAATATAAGAAAACTGATTCATTCTCTCTTTATGAAATAAAACTTATAATACATGATTACTCCAGTTAGGCTCCAAAGATCAGCGATCCATATATATCAAGGAATTTAATGTCCCATTATATAAATCGGCACTATCTTTATGGTAGACGAAGGAAGAGATTGAGGTTGTAAAAGTTTACAAGACGGGATTACATGGACGTCTATGCGAGGTAGAGAATAGAGCTAGACGTAATTGATAGTAGATGTGGGAAGTCCTCTTCAAATATCTCCGATTAACCTGATTGCTTTAAAAGAATTATGCAATAATACCTGGATTAAAATGAATTACCCAGCTAAAAATGTCTCCTAATGTCTCCTCTCATAGTAAATAAACTAATTGGATTTTTATCATAAAAACACCCCGAAGCTAAAAAAAATTGATGCAAGATGATAGAGTTTTCTATTAGATGTACGTTTTCTCTTTTAAGCAGCATTTAGCATTCTTTATTTTAGTTTATATATCTTTGTATTCGTATCAACTAGAAACTATAAACTGCATTTGTAGATAACTAACAACATAAAATAATTTTCAAAACATATTTTTAAACGTCAAAGCTATTAGTAAGGAAAATATTTACATGAAAGTTTAGATTAGTTCCCAACAAGTTGGATGTGTTTTCGAAGGCGTGTTAAACATAATTTGTTTACTATCTGATGTAAATATAGGTGAATACTCTTTCGGATAATGCACTCTTCGCAACAAAGTTAAGTGATATATCACGTAATGTTTGATTGTAACACCTCGATGTCAATTAAACAAATTAGATTAAATTTCTTCATGATAGTAACATTATAACTAATGGTTGAGTACATAATACTCAGACGTGCCCGTATTTATATACGTGTCGTTGCACCGTTAAAGGTTTATATATTCAAATCCCCAACTTTAGTATTCGTGATTTATAATCAACGTTGGGCGTCGTTGTAGAATTTGCAATTCATACTTCAATGCTAAAAGCACTTCATGGCTTAATTCTCGCCCGCAAGATATTGTTGCAAACGAAGATGGCGGTTTATAAAATCTTATATGAAAATGCATAAAATAATTTTCTTGGCATTGTTCTTAATTTACATTGATTTAATTTTTTTATGATACCATCTACAAACTTCATACAACATCATAAGTAAAAAATGTTCAAAATCATTTCAGTAATATTATTTTACGAAATTCCGTATGAAAATATTTCCTGGTGACTATATTGAGCCAAAATAATATACACAAAAGCTAAAGTTTGCAGAGGAATGCCCTCCTATAACAAAGTTGCTCTATGTATCTGACGTGGTTTACTTTCATCATAAGGATGTGAATAATATAGCCAAAGAAAACAAACATATGAGCAGGTATAGAGGTGGACTCTAGTTGAAACCCCTACCACCCTTACTATATCCATTCATACATAAACCAACGTAGGTAAAATAAACCATACTAATTATAGAGGTCCAACCTAAATAATTGCAACATTTGGCATTAGCGGTTTCTGTTAAAGTGTACATAAAATTTCGGCTAGACGTTTGAGTGAATAGTTGTTGCGTTCTCTAAAAATAACGAAATTAAAACGAGATTGTTTGGCTCGGTGTGTATCGTATCACGTCGAAAGCAGTAAAAGTGTAAATCTACCGAGAACTCCACAAAACATATATACAAATAAGTCGCACCTATTTGAACTCGTTTCAATAACACAGAGAACCTGTCATTCTTGCGAGATTATTTGGCAATTGCTATTTCACCATCAAATTGATCGCTTGTTTATTTACGTTTACTTTGAACTTTTGAGTAAAGTTAAATTACAACTATTTATTATAGCAATGATGAACGTATCCAATTGTCACCAAAATCCTCTTCGATGACTCGAATATAATTTGATAGGGATGCTACGGTTGCTCGGGCAGCAGTTGAATTACGACCTGCGTTTACTGCGCCATCTCCAACAGGAAAATCAAGCGTGATCGTAGCGAAGCAACGAGAAATGTTCCAACGAACCGTATCAGATTTCCAGTTCGCTCTGGGTCCTTCTAATTATTATTACCCCTCGTTAGTAATATTGCTCCTATTGAGCGCTTACCAAGAAACCCGACTCTGCGCCGCATAACGGTGGTAGTTCGTTATTGCGAGCAAAACGGTGTCGAGGATTTTTCTGGCAGCATAAAATTAATGAGATTTTATCCCGAACGTCGCAACGCTAGCATAAACAAACCCACCTCAACTAGAAAGATTCAAAAAAAACATATTCAAGACATTGAAGGAACTAAATTACGAAAAATTCTACTGAAATCTTTTTTAATATAACAACCATCTTATGTAGGCGTTTTATAGAACGGAAATGTATAGCTACAATGGTTGTGAAAAGAAAGCAACTCTTTCAGGTGGAATACACATCTGAACTAATGTACTATGACGTGTAGGGTGTAGGTGGCATTCAGCGATATCAACGACGTTCCTGAAGGCCTGAAAGCGGTCCCCTGAAAGGCATCGTTCACATTATAGCGCTGCACCACTTCACGTTACGCAGAAACGGGTCACCGATTTGGCGCCTCTAGAACTCAATTAACGCAGAGAGACTCTATGTAATTATTCTGTGTTACATCGATACTAATAGGTATCGAGTACAGTATTTAATGATCGATACTTATCATATAACAACAGGTTTATAATCACATATTGTATCAGAAATTGGAAATAAGACTATACTGAAAAGTTATACCACACTAATTAACATCAAAGTGAGTAAAACGAATATGTGCTTTTTAAAAACAAGTCTTATTCTGTAGCGATCTTTTGATAACTACTTCATAAAAAGTTTCCCCTTAGTTCCGAAGCTGCTTTAATGTTCGGGAAATTTTTTTTGCCGGGCTTTAAAAAGCAAAAACGTGTAGTGATGAAAAAGTATTTCAGTTTTGAAGCTATTTCGGTTCAGCTTTGCAAACATCTGGATAATTTATCGACGAAGTGGAACTTAATTCGTAGGCAGTAAACATAAAAAAGGCAGGGAAAAAATCGAATTGATTTGATCTTGATTTAATTATAGACTAAATCTCAATAAGTACGTATAATAACTAAAATCTCAAAGATTAAGATTATTTGTATATATTAACTAAAGCAGATAAGATTGAGATAATCATGGAAACATTATGTCGTATTACAAGCTTTAAACTTAATCTTAAAAATTAATCTAAACTAGAAATAAAATGGAGTAGCAAAATATGTCTTTCCTAGACCCATATAATCCAATCCAATCACATCAATGTATTCAGATTAAATCAAAAGGATACTGAAATGGAGCAAATCGTCGCAACCCAATACATTTTTCAAATCAAATTAATCTAGATCGGGTAAAATTGATTGAAATAGGTTTTAATTTAATTTGTAAAGTGGATTTGCATGAGCTGTTTTGAAAAATAATTATTTGATACAGTCGTATAATTTTTAATTAAATTGTAACAGTAATCGTTAACAAGGTGTGACGAAACCTTGTATCAAAATACAAAATCAATACTAAAACTACATAAACTTCTTTTTGATTTCTATGTATATGAATAATCTTATACAATACTTTAAAGAGATATAGCCCTTTCTGTATTCCATTTCTATTATTTCAATTTTTAGTGCGATAGGTCTTAAAACATTCTCCAACTAGAACTCCGTGATATGGACTTGAGTTGATAAATAGCCAACATTTCTTTTTTTTAGTTTTGTCTTACCAATAATAAGTCTTGATCTTTATGGCTGTTGCATTTGGTGTTTGAGAAATCGACGGAGCGAGGTCTTCATGAAATCTCATCTTTCTGTTCACTGCTACTACTCTCATGATCATTGTCTACATTTGATATCTCTAAGTTTTATGCATCTAATAGTAAGATTTTTTCGACAGCACTTTGTGATAATTAGACGATCAAAATCTGTAGTTCAAGATCTTTGTGACATTAACTGTCCTGGTCGCCATATTGTCTTGATCTCAACCCATGAGATTCCTTCTTCAGGGGCAACATTCGAAAGTTTTATTCATCGTTGTAATTATACATCAGATGTGAGTTTTTAATCTGTATATGAAGTTTTCAAAAATCCTTTTCTGTTACAAACTTTTTACCAGGAAAATGTTTTTTAGTAGATAGAATATATTAATAAAGAGGTTGTGGTGGTGCAACTTGTGTATTTTATTTTAGTAAGCAGTACATTTTCCTGGTTAGGTTGTGTTGAGTTGGATAATAATAATAAGAATTTACCAAATGTTAAACGCAAGGCAAATTAATTTTTCAGAAGCAATTCAAATAAAGAAAAAATATAACCTAATGCATACCTAGATTATAAATGTAATCAATATAGCATAAAAATTATAGAGTTAATTTGAATCCCTAAAACCAATTTAGTGTCTGCAAGTAACTAAAATCCGTATGAACATCTAAAATAAGATTCTATATGTTGTTACAAACGCCCGATGGGGGTCTTACTACTTTAGGAAAAGAGCTTCCGATACTAGACAGCTGTCAATACCAGAATCTTCGTTGTTCATTTTCGTACTTGTAAAGCTTTTAGTTTATTTTAAATAAAATGGAAATTGCTAAAACGTACAGCAAAAGCAAAGTCTTTTTTCTACTATTATAGTTATTTTTTTCTAAATATAGTGTTTTCAAGAAAAATAGAAAAATTACTTACGACACACATACACGAGAAGCAATTCGGAGTTAATATATCCACCTCCACTGGGGTTCCTTCTCTTCCACATCCTATTAAATCGCCCGCTGAAAATAACAGAAAAAAATTCATGTCAAAACTCTATGAAATAATGAAATTAGCGTATTATTAAATAAATTGTTTGAAAATTTACATACCCTACCCACGTGTTCAAGTGAATAGTGTCAACAGTAACTTTTTCAACGTTTCCGTTTTAATCACATTTACATAGTGTCACGAAGTTGCGTGAGCGGACTATTTTTGTTTTGTTCGTTGTCCCTTTTCTGGGAATGCACGTCGAACTGATATAAATGTCTGGTAATTAAAGTATAAGTCATGCTCGGGTTTACTTCAATTACATGGGAGAAGTTTGTTGGCTTACCGAGTGTTGTACAAGAAATTGTTTCGCAATTTGCGTCTAATTGCGTTTTCTGTGTGTAGGTGTAAGACTGGAAGCCGGTCAACTCTAAATGCATTTAGCTCATAATGGAAGATTAATGACGAGAAATTCACGTTTAGTTACCTATATTATTTCTAAGTTTCGTGTAATTTCAGTACGAATTAGCGATTGTCTCGAGTAATCTCAGTAATATTTTATTACGCTATGTGGTACCTGTTTTCCTGATAGATCAATACTGTATACTCAAATAATAAACAGAAACATATTATTTTTCATAAATATTTACATTATTGTATAAAACGTTTTGATAAATATTGAATAACAAGTGGATGATGTAAAGTAAATATTTATGTAATTAATGACGTAATTCTCTTAACTACCGACGTCAGATTTATGTACTTTGTGATAGAACCCGTCATAGATAGCGCTATATTGCGAATAGCTGATGAAAAACATCAATCAATATGATGTATCTTTTGATTTCCTGTATTTCGCGCACCAATGCCAAAAATCTAACTAAGAATGATCTCTATATAGACGTCAATCGTTACGAGTCTATGATTCTTTATAATGATAATAAGGCGGTGTAGGTAGGGATCGAAATTCGGAAATTCACGCCCAGTGTTTAAAAAAGTAGCTCACGCAAATTTCAATTTACATAACACGAAATGGCGTAAACACGTGCTATTTTTGCTTCGTTCTCGAGAATGCAGAAAGGTGAACACACGAAACCCGCTCGAGTCCAAAGCAAAAATCGTATATACAACGATAAATGGACGTCGGTACAGTCCTTGACCCATTTGAACGGACAAACTCGTTAGGAGTTCACCATCTAGGAATTCCCAAACATTCTTTATTAGCAGCCGTCGGCGATGAATTTCGCCGTTAAAAAGTGAGTCCAATAAAAAGTTTTTGCTTTTGGAATGTTAAAAATGTTGTGCTACAGGTTAACTGAATCACAAAATTTGATTACTGAACGTTTTTTTCTTGTTTATTCATTGACCTTAGTACTACGTCAATGTCATCCAGTTAATAAATCCCGATAAAAAGGCTACTAAATCAACAGGTCGATTGTCTTCTGGAGGCTACAGGTGCGTGTATAGTCTCTAGCATCAAAAGAAAAAAAATACATACATCATATTTATTTACTTGCTTCGGGCGATTCTTTACTGTTCGGTATCCCATCGCAGGTATAATTCAGAATGGTACTAGACCGTATGGTTATACAGCATTCAATGCCCCTTTTATAATTTATTATTCCTACACCACGGCTATTGTTCTCTAAGGATAATTAAATAAGTCATAATAAGACACACCCACTTGATACAAACGGTTCGACCGGCACGGTTCTTCAACCTCGCCGATGGGCTGCACCTATGTACACCTGTTTAATGTAGGGCGTCGACCAACCCATCCCAATGAAGGTGACCACACACTCTGACTATCTTAATCGCAAATCAAGAATTAGTTGAAATAAGAAATTTTGTAGTTTATTTTAATTAGTCTTTCTATAACATACAAATTAATACATCATTTTGTAATTGCGAAATTCAATTAATTGAAGACAAAACCAGTTAAACTGGCAAATCGGAACTCTTCTTCAAATGAAGTTCTACGTGCCAATTGTATCCAGTTTTCTTGCATAGTGTTAATACAGGCAAATATGGTGACATAATAAATCTAGACTTTGACATAGTAAAGTTTTCCTTTGAAAGTTGCAGGTGTTATCTTGCCCTTCTGGATAGATGGGGTTTCATTCAACACTCTCTTGCCCCAAACTCTGATTTCGATATATACACCGTTATGGCTAATGCATAAATATAATTGTAGTTTATTCTGGACAACGTCTACATCGATATTATCCACTACGCTTAACCCTGTATTTAACTTGACAACTGCTCATATAGTTCACGATTAAAGCCATCAAAGACAGTTGTGTTTCTTTTTTGGACACGAGGGTTTGTCTTGATGTAGTTGGCTCAATTGACAAACTTAGTTCCCTTCAAAGGTAGCAGCTTTGCAGGTTCAACCTTTTTCACAGAAGATATTTTACTGTCATGGTCAACAAAAGTTAAACCTGCAAAACCTCACAAATCCCAAATTTCAACCCTAACATGGAAAGACTTAGTTCAACCTATTCTCAAATTTTAAGTATGTTTAGACAAATAAATTTTATACAACTTTTTAGAATACATACAATAGCTTTTATGGTTATGGGATTGTCAGTACAGACTAAGATGCTGCATCTAACAATAGATCTTGTATTCCACATCTCTATGCCACAAGTGACATTCAATATTTGTGTCAATTATCTCTGATATTGTTGCAATAAAACGAAAATTTCGGAAATAGGTAATATTTTCAAGACGATATTTATACCATCACGACAGGTTTAGCATACCTGGGAAGAATTAAAGTATCTTTCAGAATCCGTATTAAATTCACAAGCATCTAGGCTGTCTTAAGCAATCAATACTTTCACAATGATTATGATATAATTCACAATAATTCTCTATAACCAGTTTCTATGCACTATAACATGTTTACTTAATACAAATTTCATAGAATTAAATTAATTAACAAAAAATCAATAAAGATTTCCAAAACTTGATAAACTCATAAATAAAAAGTAATAGTTGTGGTTATCTGCATTGCTGCAAACGAATCGTTTCATTATATGGTGCAATAACCCACACTGACTCTTATGCTATTTTCTTTTCGCAATAAATTTATTTGGGAGAACGGTGGCCAGTGAGACAATTTATCGACGGAGTTCACGGCTCGATATTTACAACAGTGCGGCGTGTTACTGATACCGTATTGGCTCAGGTCCAAATTCCTTTTTCTATCACAAGTTCATGTGTATAATAAATTTATTTTGGGCTATTAATAGAAAATTGGACATATCAGCTTATTGTAATCGAAGGGCGCGATTTATATACCAATCATAATTTTTTTTTAATCTACCCCCATTTTGGATTTAAAAGCAAATGGCTAGGAGGTTTTGCTAATAAATTATTTAAAGTGCGTTTTTATCTTTTTAGCATGCCCCGCAACTTTCCACATTAACAAAATCTACTTCCCTCTGCTCGCAATAAATTCTCAAGCGCTTCCACTGACAGCCACGTGGTACACTGAAAACCAAGGAAATTAACATAGGGATAGAAACGAACTTTGGTAATTTATTTCGAAACGAAACCAACGCGCATCGGCCTCGACTTTTATCACGGAAAGTTCGCATAGTAATAGATCAGCGCATACAAACACATCCCGACGTGAATTGTAAACCTGAACTAACGACGGCAATCTTTTCCCGTCGCTATGTTTATTGACGAGGGCCAATTTAGTACACCATTTCCTATCTCGGCAGAAAATGCCAATCCTGTATGTAACCTAGGTCCTGGCTTTTACGTAATACTTCCGATAATGGATGATGTATCGGCTTGATGGTCTGTTGGCGAGAAATTTTTGTTCTATATACAGAGAAGAATTTTGTAAACAGACGTTTTTTATCTACACAAAAAGTAACCAACATCTTAAGTGTATTAGTGCTTTAACAGCACTTGATATGTATATCGATTTTGGGCCTATTTATTATTTAGTTTTTTTCGTCGTTAAAACTATTGATGTGAGTAATCACGAAGCAGTAAAGGCGAATGTCGATGGTTCGGACAAACAGTTCTTTGTGAGATCTACTAGTGGGTCACGTGAAAAGAGCCACACGTGCGCCAACTGCCGGTGTGTAAATTTATCGGTTAGATGGAGATTTCCTGAGGCGTGTGGAGTGCGGTAGGGTGCGACACTCCCTCTTGGGCTCCTCTAGATTCAATATAGATCGAACGTTAGACAGATTTACCGGAGAACTCTTGATTCCGTGGTCGGCTTGCGCCATTACCTGTTACACTCTCGGAGACAAACGACTCGCCTGAATCTAACCGAAGAATGCTTAGACAATGCGAGGAGGGACGTTGATAAATCGGCCGGTTGGGAATTTTATTGCCCAACTAAGGATCGTGATGGTGGAAGAAGAAGCAATTTTCGGTCATAAACAGTAACTCTTAAAAGAACTTAAGATCCGTAACTTCCTCTTAATGGTGGGGTAATCTGATATTTTCGCGGTCGATTTTGGCGCCTTTCTGTCTAGTCTGGTGTTTTCCATCTCACTATGGATAGGAAACTGGATGTAGATTATATCATAAATTCTTCAAAATTGTTAGCTTACTATTCGCGATAAAATTTTTTTAAATAATTACGTCATCAATGGAACGACCAAGGAAAACGAAACGCAAACATAACTATAAAGTTATATTCTTGCTGTGTAATTAAAAAGCTATTTCTGTTCTGATTTTCCTTGAACGGGATCGCCTTACCATTAATTGTCAGCAAGTGAGGTAATTAATGGTTGCTCACGGACCGCGCGATTGGTGCGTAGACGACGTCGTGCTTAACGCGTAAATCCTTAACCTTTCAACGATGACCTTTGACCGTATTGGCCCGCGGGCTTCATAAATTGCACGCCACTTTGTAAATTAATTCTGAGAGCACCAACGGAGTTTGAGCGTTTACCGTCCAGTACACTACCACTAAAAATCACCATAAAACGAACCGGAGAGCGTATCACCATGCTCGTAAAAGACGACGGCTGAATTTCAATCTTTATTCCGGAAA